GCGATCGATGACCTGGAGAAACCAGACTCTTGGAAAGCAGATTAGACAACAGCATTATGTCAACACTGAGTTAACTAAAGCTTATCGTGGTGTCAGTAAAACCTTCAAGGAGGTTTCAAGGGCTGTGTAAGAGTATTGCTATCCTTAGAAGGGCACACTGAAATATTTAGGGACAAGAAGCCAGTGCAGGCCAGGCCCACCTGCCCATGGGCCTTGTCATAGCATACTGCTTTCTCTCTCTCCGCCTGCACTTGTATCTCAGAAAGAATTCTCTGAGACTGGTTTAGTGGGGAAGAGAAAACCTCGCGTCTGGTTTACAGATGAGTCTGCGTAATGGACGAGCGCTACCCAAGAGTGTCAGCTGTGGCGTTACGGTTGCTTTCTGGGCCTTCCCCGAAAGGTGGAGGTGAGGACATTCTCCTAGGGGACAGAACTGTGACCGCTGCCCCTGGCTGCTCATTGTGCTTGGAAGGAGAGATGGGTCCCCAAACTCAGCTGTGTTACACATAAGCAGCCAGAGCCCAGTCCCAGCAGAGTCAGTCGTGCCTACTATGTTTGCTAATTGATTTCTGAAGGAAAATCTTAGTTCCTGATTCCAGCACCAGGAACAGGAGGCTAAGGACTTTCACTGTTACTTCTATATACTAAGCAGCTTACACAGGCCATTTCCCACTTCTAGCCAAAAGAGGAAGGGATGCCTAGTTGCTTTTCACTCCTACTTCTCCGAGATCTGAATGCACATGACTAATTTCTCCACCAAAGTTGATTTGTTTTTCTTTTATTGAGCATGTGTGCATTGTTCAGTATCCCTGCCGTGGGGACCAGATACCTGACACCCACAACTTCAAGGGGGAAATGGTTTATTAGGCTCATGGTTTCAGAGGATTTGGCCCATGGTGAGCTGGCTCCAAAGCAGAAACATCATGGCAGAAGGGACCCGGTTGAGCCATGCTGCTTGCCCCTTGGCAGCCAGAACATCACTTCCTCTTCCCCAGCCCAGCAGGGAGGAACCTGGGGGAAATTAATATTTCGGCCTCTTTGCCCCTGATTCCATCAGACCTGAATCCCTGCTGGGACCGTCTCCTGGTGCCAGCCAGGAGGCAAACGAGGCCAGGGAGCCTGTGGAAGCAGCCCAGACAGGCCAGCCGTCAGAAGGAGCCTGAGGCAGGGTGGACATGGTGGAAGGTGGCCCTAAAGGGACAAACGTGAGTCGCCCAGTTCAGACCCTTGAATGGTGTGTCCCTGTGCTACCTGCCGGTCTCACTGCATGCGCACCGCCCTCGCCCGCTTGGCCTCCCCTCTGTCGCGTCTCCCTCCCCCTAGCTCACTCCTGTTCATCCTAGAGGTGAGCATCCCCCTCCTAAGCAGGTCGGGCTTTCTTCCGTTTCTTGACTGTCTTCTTTTCACCATGTCGTTTCTCAAAGTATTCACCTCCTTATGGCAAAATTTGTATCCACTGATGATTTAATAATCGTACAACCAAGAACCAGTGTGAGGACCAAGTTTCCAGGTCATGGTGGGCTCCAAACCCCTTACCCAGGATAGAGTAAATATAAAAGTTCCTTTGTGAAAAATTCCATTCTATGTAATAGTTTCCATTCTATGTGGCAGTTTCTCTGTGCTTTGACAATTGCAGTTCCTCTTTTAGGACATCTCCACCCCTCCCAGCACCCCATGATAATTTTGCGAATGTAAGCATTAGGTCACGTTCCAATGTGCCCTCCCGATGCCCCTTGATGATAAGGGAAAACTAAAAATAGTAACAGAAAAATCCTATATAAACTTGGTTCAAAGTTGGATCTGGGCTCTCGGTCTGAAGCCGCTGTGATGGTGACACCCGAGAGTCCAGGCTCGAGCTTGCAGTAAACTCCTCTTGCAATTGCGTCGGACCTGACTCCTTGGTGGTCTTTGGGGACTTTGCAACTTGGGCACAACACCAGCATCTGTTGAATGCATACCACGTGCCAGGCAGAGGTAACTGTGTTAGGACGGTGATGGCGAACCTTTTAGAGTTTTCAATGGTACAAACAGCCCGCCATGGCACGCGTGCCATAGGCTTGTCAGAATATTCTAGATGGTCATCTCCACAATGATTGGAGCCGCGTCTCTGTCTTATTCCTCGTTCCACCTCTAGTGCCTAGGACAGTGGTGGGCTCACACCAAGGACTCAGCGCACAAGCATAGAGGGAAAACCCCCAAGGAACCTTCTGAGTGTTCCCTTGCTGTCTTCAGTGTGGGAGATTAAATATGGTGGCCGACCTTAGCCACTGCTCCCATGGAGGTGTGAAGTCCAACTCCACTGTGCTGGAATCCAGGCTGCTCACAGTGACCTGCTTGACCTAAGCAGGACACGGTGAGAGGGACACTCTGAGACTTCTCCATTCTAGGAAGCCTAGGGTTCCTTAGGATGTTCTCTCTCAGTGCTCTGAGCCACCGTGTGTGACACACGAGGCCACCACGTTGGTGTGGCCCAGTGAGCCCAGCTCGCCGGCCTTCCCTGCCGAGGGCCAGGCACAGCACCAGCCCATCCGCCAGCTCAGCGGCCTCTGGAGCTTCAGATGATGCCACACAGAGCAGTTACCCAGACAAGAGCTGCCCCAGTTCTGGAGTCACGCGATCCTGAGATGACATGAAGTGGTTTTTCTTTCCACGCCTCTTCATGAAAACAGCTAACGCTGGTTAGGGGAAATCCCCACACCGCGTCTTCACCCCCTCAGCCGCCCATCACCTCAGCTCTCCAAGACCTCACCGGCATCTTCCCTTTGATGCGGTGAGGAGAGAGGCGTCTTCTGTCCCTCCGCTGCATCTGCAGCCCAAAGAGGCCCCCGCACCTGTGGCTAAGCCCGGCGCGGTTGCTCTGGGCCACCGGAGCACCCCACAGGCAGCCCTCGGGCTTGGGCCGCAGCCTGTTGCCTGTGAGGACCGCTGTCACCCCCGAGGCCAGGCCCGGGCACGGGGCCTGCCTGGGCTGTCCCAGCCCCACGCTAGCCTTACTCTCTGGGTGAAGCCTGGAAGGGGGCAGAGCCCTACGGGGGACCCAGCCTGCTGGAAGCGCTGGGGAAGGGTCCCTGACGCAGGGGTGGGTGCCGAAGTGCCCAGAGTTAGTGTGGAACCCCTTGGAGGTTCCCGCTGGCACCTAAGGAAGTGGCTTGAGAATCCTGAGGCCTCTGCTGGCCGTGGGCTCTGGGCCTGAGGGAGGGGACGGAGGTCCTGGAGAATACTGATGGGATTGGAAATGTGAATGTTTGTACTTTAAAGATTGTTACAGTAAAAAGCACAATGCCAGGCACCCCCTCAAAATCCCCCTGGCTTCGGACATGCTCATCCCATCCTCTCAGCCACTCCCTGCAGCGGCTCTGGAGTCCTCCTTCCTGAGGGTCTGTATGAGGTGAGATCAAAAATACGGTGACTGCGGCCGCCGAGCGCCATCCCACGGAAAGGCGACTCGTAAAACACAGCGCTGTGTCCTCGTCCGCCTCATTCACCGGACCTGGCACCGTGTGACTTCTGACTCTTCCCAAAGTAAAGTGACCGGCACAGGTCAACGTTTTAAATCCATGCAGGACCCGGAGGGAGCCAGGACAGCACAGCGAAAGACGCTGAGGAAAGAGGACTGCAGAGCTGCTGCAGAGAGGTGAGGATGAGGGGATGGGTGTGCTCACAGCGAGGCGGGGTCGGCCGGGGGTGTGGCTCAGTGGTTCCGCCACCTGCCTCGAAAGCGCAAGGGCCTGAGTTCAAGGCCCGGTACCAAAACAAATAAACAAAAATCAAAGTGAGGGGAGGATTCCGAGGGGGACTCGCAGTCATGTGACTTTTACTGTACTACTGAAAAACCAAAATGAAACAAAACAAAAAACAGAACGTACGCTGTGATCGTGCTCACTCCCTCTCTTCACGCCCCTCCTGTGCCTGGTGGGGGACAGGGGAGGTGACAGGGTTCCCAGCAGGGGAAGGGAGCGTCATCACACAGAGAGACGGGGGTACCGGAGACAGCTGTGGACAGGAAGTCCACGTGGGCAGCGCGGCGTGACGCCATGACAGGGACTGTCCCAGGGCCCAGGCAGACCTGTGGACACAGGAGCGAGGAGGGAGACAGGTCTTAGGGTGTCAGGAGTGTCTGGGTGGTCAGGGGGACTCAGGCAGTGAGCAGGGCCTGGTGGTGCGCACCTGTATCCAGCACTCTGGGAGGCTGAGGCAGGAGGATCACAGGTTCTAGTCCAACTCTGGGCTCTTTGTTGACTTAGCAAGACCCTATCTTCAGGTAAAAATGTAAAAAGGGCCGGGGAAGTAGCTCAGGGAGTTCAATGCCCAGTACCACAAAAACAAAAACAAAACAAAACACCCACAAGGATCAGGCAGCCTAGAGGTTAGTGCCATGGGTGTTGGTGTGAGGCTGCCGAGGTTCAAACCAGGCTCCGAGAGTCAGTATCCACGTGGTTCTGGTGCCTCAGTTTCTCCACCTGCATTCCAGATCACAGCGGCGCCAACCTGTGAAAATTAAATAATGAACCCCAGCTAGGGCTTTAGAAGAGCACCCAGTGAGTGCTGGAGAGTGCTGCCTCCCACTGCCTGGAAACCGGTGGTTGATTACTCAGTCACATGTGGCTTTGGTGCCCAGGCCTGGGAAAAGTCACCAAATAACAGCTGGATTGGATGGAATTTCTGTTTGAGTTTTTTTGAGAAATCTTACTGATTTCCAGAGTCGCTGTACCAGTTTACACTCCCAGCAGCAGTGAGGAAGGCTGCCTTTTCCTACTTGGAAGTGACCTGTACTCATCAACAGACAAACAGATAAAGAAATGTATTTATACACAACGGACTACTACGCTTCCATAAAGAAGGATAAACTGGAGTCGTGGATAGGGAATGGATGCTCCTCAAGACCATCATATTAAGTGAAATAAATCGGACACACCAGCTTAAATATTACAGAACTTCTTTTATAGGACAAACCCAAAGCATAATTTTTTAAAAAAAATAGACCATAGGAAATAGGGAGATAGATCTTTTTGCAAATGGAAAAGGGGTCCAGAGACCAAGGTGGTGGGGAGAGGTGTAAGAAAGAGAAGCTCTGTTTAGCTCATGTACCTGCCCCCTAGGTGAATGTAACATCACGGGCTGCAAACAAGAGCTGATAGAAATGTTGGAAAAACATTGCAGAGGTCCAAAGCCCTGCTCAAGGGCACCTCTGGTCACTTGCGTCCTGGGTGTGTGTCCGAGTGTGGGGACCACACGGGGGGCTCCAGGAAAACTTCCCGGAGAGGGTACAGAGCTAAGTCCTGAGCAGTGAGCGGGGGCAGGCGAGGAAGGAAGAGGAGGAAAAACGGGCGCGGAACAGACCTGTGACTGCAAATGCCATTAGGTGGGACAGCTGGGCAGGCACGGCAGGGGCCACAGCTGGGTTCGCTTAACGGAACTCATCACAAAAGGAAGTGAATGCCAGGGTTGGAGCAGCAGAAGCCAAGGCTCCTTCTGCCTCTCCTTCCAGGCGCAGCGCGGCTCTGCTCCCGCTGGTTCCTCACGGCCACAAGATGGCCGCCACAGCCGGAGGCACCGTGGCTTCGTTTTGGCGTCCAAAGCAGGAAATAAAGACGTAGGTGTAGGGACAGGGAAAGGGGACGTTACAGGAACTCCTGCAGTGAGTCCTGGTCTCCTGTGAGCCACAACAGCACAAAGAGAACTAATTAAGAAAGGAGAGGAGACTTAGACAAGATGCTGAGCTTTGGGCTTGATAAATGCTGCTCTGGGGCAGCAAAGATGAAAGGCTCCAAGCTCGCCACACCTTTATTTGGTACATCAGAAGTAACAGATGACTCAGAAGGTGGCGAACGTAGTCCTAGGACAATGAGGAATTTACGCAGATGAAGATCCTAGGTCATGAGGAACTTATGTTGATGAGGAGTTTGTTCTTCCCAGGACGTCTTCGGCTGATGCACTCCTGCCCCGGAGCACCATGGGATTACTGAGGTCTCAGCTGTGACTGGAGGCGGAAATGGAGTTGTGTCAACCTGTGATAGCCGTCCTGTAGGCAGGAAAACGAGGCCCAATCATAATATAATTGTGAAACCATTTCTCCCCGAAATCATGTAGAATTGCTCCCGACACATAGGTCTACCTAAGTGGCTCTCACTGGGAATTTTGCAGTGTCTGGAAAACGTTTTTCGGTTTTCACGGCTGGGAGGAGAGGCCAGGAATTCTTCGAAACTGAAAAATCGTCTATAAAAGAGAATTACCACAGTGTCAGTAGGTTTGGGGTTGGAATCCCGGTCTCAGGATTGGGTGCCCTTGGCTTAAGTGGGGCCGTGAAGTTGCCTCACTCTAGTCATTTGGAGCTTGGAGCCCAAGATGCAGGCCCATGTTTCAGCCGCTGCCCGAGGAGCCTAGGATGGTGCTGTGGGGTACAGCTGTCTTCGCTGAGGTTCCAGGGGGATTTAAATATGAAAAATGAAGCTATCAGATGCTTCTCAGATAGGTGGGCGAGACTTCCTAAAATCCTTGTATGTTTATATTTTTGCATAGAAATAGAAAGACACTTTTTCCGTGGTCAGCACACACCAGCTGAGCAGGGCATTACATTCTGTCAGATACTGAATTACTTTGCTGTGTTCTCTCTCTCTCTCTCTCTCTCATTTTGTTTTTGAGACAGGGTCTCGCTATGTAGTTGAGACGGACCTAGAACTCACTATGTAGCCCAGGCTGGTCTCGAACTCACAGCGATCCTCCTGCCTCAGCCTCCCGAGTGCTGGATGACAGGTGTGCACCACCACGCCCGGCTCTCTCTTCTTAATACATCTTTAGTTCCTGGGCTTTCCTTCTGTCGTAGTAAATTCAGTGTCTTTTCTCCTTTCAGTTTTCCACAGCAGGATTGGCTTGATTGGCAGTGTTAAAATGGGGCAGCAGGGCTGGGGACCAGGGACGGGATGGACTCAGGTTACCCAGTTACAATAAACGCGACCTGCCCGCCGCAAGCCATGCTGCAATGTGTCACCTCAGCGCTGACATTTCCACCGTGGTTTTGGTTCGGCCTCATTCTCGCGGGGCGGTGTTGGCCGTTTCCTCAAGAGCTTCCTCTTCCTGCTTCTTGTTTACCATCGGGTCTGCAAGCGGCTTCAGGTTGTGTTGAGGAGGTGTGAGTGGAGCGCACCCCTGGTGCACGCGTGTGTGTGCCCGTGTGTGTGCCCGTGTGTGCACGCCTGTGGCTGTGCGTTTTCATGTACTTTTGTGTCAGCACAAGCAGTGGCAGAGCCCGGTATTCTGTCATTCCACAGTGGTGCGGATTCTCCTTCTGGCCCACAGCAGCAGGAGAAACGAAGGGAAAATGACAGCCACAGCAGACTCCTGGGCTCGACGATCAACACCACGTGAGAGACTGAAAACGACGTAGCATCCTTTCAACAGTCCGAGGGTCGGGTAAAGCCTCTAGGGAGATAAAAGCACATTAAACAAAGTAAAAATGAGACACAGCATAGCACTCTGTGCTGTCACACGGCAGAGCCATCCCGGGCACAGCGGGCGGTGCTTACCCTGCTGACCCCGCACCGCTGTAGGAGTCGGGGATCCACGGAAACACAACCATGGCCCAGGCGCGGCCTCAGATGCTGACCTCATGCCGACCTCATCCGCGAGGCTGAGGCACCAGGAGGGCCCTGGAGGCCACAGTGGGAGCCGGGGACGCGAGCACCCCCACCGGATCCGCCCAAGGCCCGGGCCACAAGGACCTCAGCACTGCGGAGCAGCTCCAAGGACACGCACTGGACGCAGAGACGGGAAAGGACCGATCCAGTCCAACACCGGCCCCAGACACACCTGAGTCAGGCTCGGCACGGTGGTGACACCGGTGTGGACGCCTGGAAATACTCACCGAAGGGGGAGCATTTTATTATGTGCTAATTAAAACTCAGTAAAGGTGATTAAAGAAGCAAAACAAAAACCAAACCCTTCCCAGATCTCTCCCGGACACCGGATGCTGTGACTAGGGAAAGGCCATCTCTTCCAGCCGCACTCTGGGCCCAGCGAACCACAGCGGGCAGAACCTGGAGGAGGGCTCAGGACGCCTGCATTCTCATCCGGGTTCCACTGATGACTGGCTGGGTGGCGGAGGGTCAGTCCCCCAACCCTCCGCACCCCAGCCTGCGCCTCTGCTGAGTGCTTCCCAGGGCTTTGGGAGCCATCAGGAACTGAGGCACATGAGCTGGCACAGGGTGACACATTCCTGTGATTTCAGCATTGTGGGGGAGGCTGAGGCCGGAGGATCACATGTCTGAGTCCAGCCTGGCAACTTAGTGACTTATGGTAGCAAAATATCATCTCAAAATTGAGGAAGAGGAGGAAGAGGAGGAAGAGGAGGAGGAGGAGAAGTTAAGGTCGCTACCACCTGGCATTTCCCCTCCTGGCTTCCTCATCCTGAGAAACTGAGCGGGACACCTCATGGCGCTGGAGACCACTTAGGTGTCTGTCACTAGAGAAACAGGAATGGAACACAGCACACTCATACATGGCACAGTTGTAACAGTGTCTTGTTTTTTTGTTTGTTTGTTTGTGTGACAGCGTCTCACCATGTAGTTGAGACTGACCGGGAACTCACTATGTAGCCCAGGCTGGTCTCGAACTCACAGCGATGCTCCTGCCTCAGCCTCCCGAGTGCTGGGATTACAGGTGTGCACCACCACACCCAGCTTGAACAGTATATTGCTATACATATATTATATATATAATATTGTGCTGAGTTTAAAAAATATACTTGTGAGGAGGGCAGGGGCATGGGGTAAAAATAAGAACCAAGATACACCATGTAAAGGTACAAGTAGATGAATGTCACTGTTCATGTATACTTAGAAAGTACCAATCAATAATGAAAAAAAAGTACTTGTATCAGTACTGTATTTCCAGCACAGCGTCATTTATGTCAAGTAAACACAGGTGCTGGGCTTTTCAAAAACACACAAAGATCTCAATTTCATTAGGTTGGCAGTGCTGCGCGACGAACAGAGCTTTAAAAAGTCACCCCCCCTCAAGCGACCCCAGCAGCCAGGGCTGGAGCCTCGGCCCAGGCCAAAACCACCTTCCCCAGGGACCCCCATCAGGGAAGCCAAACCGGAAGGCGTCCAGCACTCGGCTGTCCCAGATGCAGGAGGGACAAACACGTATCTCACGCAGTGGACGGGCCAGGCGCCGTGTGTCACCCCTCTGGGTAGGAGCTGAAAGAGACAGGAGGTTACGGAGACCGAGAGCTGCAAAGTCACGGGGTGGAGTTGACCCCTGAACGGGTCACCCGCTTCCTTGGGAAGGAGGGAGGTGCCCACACCGCCCAAACAAGGGTCCCCCAGCAGGCTGGCCCCCCGGGAGCTGCAGCCAGTGTCCTGTGGCCTCAGCCCTGGGAGGAGCTGACCTCACAGGAAACGCCTCCCGGGGAGTCCGGCTTATCCCCCCTCTCTCTCGTCTGCCCCAGGACCCTCCCTCAGACCCGGCTCAGCTGTCACGGTGACGTCTGCACCCCAAACCTGCACCTTTGGCCAAGCCTCCAGCTTGGGTGTCCTGGGGCAGTGCCTCCTTCCTCACAGTGGGGCCCGGGGAAGCTTATCCGGGATGCAGTCTGGGCCCGCCCTGGGATCCGACTCTGCAGAGTAGCGAGCGCCCAGCCTGGGGGCCCGGGGCCGGGCCCGGAGGCCTCACACCTGCAGGTTTCCGGGAGCAGCCCCCAAGCGCCCCTGAGCCATCCAGGCTCCGGGATACCCGCAGGAACCGGGCTCCTGGCTCCCAGGTGGTGTCCAGCGTCCCTTTCCTGTCCCCCAGGGGCGCCCGGTCAGGCACAAGGATGTCACTCAAATCGGGCTTGTATATCTGCGGTCCGGGGCCGGGCCCGGAGGCCTCACACCTGCAGGTTTCCGGGAGCAGCCCCCAAGCGCCCCTGAGCCATCCAGGCTCCGGGATACCCGCAGGAACCGGGCTCCTGGCTCCCAGGTGGTGTCCAGCGTCCCTTTCCTGTCCCCCAGGGGCGCCCGGTCAGGCACAAGGATGTCACTCAAATCGGGCTTGTATATCTGCGGTCCCCAGATTCTCCACGAGTCTTGCGATTGTCTGTCGACACTTGAATAATAATTTTTAAAAGAGAAGTACTCTGTGAGCACGTCGTTGTGGCTGGGACACCGGCCTTCCGTGCCCGCATTTCTGGTTAGGGTCTTACTGGATCCGAGTGGTCACTCCCAGAAACAGCTTGCTTAGGCAGGGTCCCCATATCACGGAGAAGTAAGGGTCACGGGCGGCATCGGCGTCCCTGCGATCACAGCAGCGTTTGCGACCAGCTGGGCGTTCATCTCATTCGATCTCCACACAGCCTAGAAGGTGGGCAGGCAAATGCCACGTTCGCGTCACGTCCGGTGCCCCCTGCAGACCCGCTCCAAACTTCGCAGCGTAAAACAGCAGCGCTTTGTTTTAGCTCACGATTTTCTGGGCTCGAAATCCAGGCGAGGCTCAACTAGGAGTCACCTGCTGCACCCACCTGGCGGCTGGGTCGGGCTCCCAGGGCAGGAGGGGTGCACAGCTGTACCCTAAGGGTCCCCGCCTGCCTTTTCTCTCTCCGGGGCCTTGCGCACGCAGCCGCCCGGCCCGGCCTCCTTCCCAGCGGACAGCGGGCTTCTGGGAGGCCCCGGGAGGAGGAGATGCTCAAGGCCAGTGGCCAGGTCACCCCAGATCCGGGGAGGGCACCGGGGTCCAGGTCTGTCATGCCCAGGGCACGCACACCCACCGTGCTCTGCCCCTTGCTGGGGTGGGGGTGGGGAATCCTCCAGGCCTCCCATGTAGTTCCCCTCCTTCCCTCCAGAGGGCGGTCGTCTCTTCCTAAAGGCTGAGTTCCTCCTCCCTGGTTGCCAGAATTGAAGTGTCTTCAAATACAGCCCAGGCAGGCGGAGATTTAGCACAAGAAAGAGAATGTGATTTAGCACAAGAAAGAGAATGTGAGCTGTCTTAGTGCGTGTAACACACTGACCATGCGTTGAAAGGATACTTTAGGCGTTGGACTGGAGATATTTTAAAATTTATTCTATCTATTTATTCTTAGATTTTTTTTACCCCCGGTACCGGGGATTGAACTCAGGACGTTGAGCTTGCCAGGCTAGCTCCAGCCCTATTCTTAGGTTTTTAATGATGTAGTTACTTATAAATTAAAACCGCATACGTGCCTCACTTTTGCACTTTTATCAGACGGTGCTGGTGTAGCCACTCTTCCCAAGAACAAACCCCAAGGTCACTGGAGAACCTTAGTGCTCCAAGGAACCCAGCTTGAAAACCATCGGTGTGATGGCCAGCATGCACGACTCCACATGGGTGAAGGGTGAGTCCACCTTGCGAGGCGCAAGTCCAGTGGCGCCGTGCCCCGACCCAGAGCTGTGGCTCCAGGGTCCAGCTGTGGCACACGTGGAGCTGGTGAGGGCCCCGGACTCACCCTCTGAATCTTGGAGCCGCAAGCAAGGGGCAGCGAAGGGTCTCTGCCACCGTCCCGACCCTGGGTTTCTGGTCAGAGAAGCCGTAATCTGTCCAGGCCCCAGGGAGGCCAGGGTGGCTTGGGCAGTGCCGCCTGTGCCTGCACCTCAGGGCCCCTGCTCTGGAGCTAGGCAGGGGACTGCTGAGTCATGGCACAGAACCGCGCTCTCTTCGCGCGGTCGGGGTGTCACAGGACGAGGACTTCCCCACCCTGCTCCGCTGCGGCCCGCCTGGGGGCTGTGCATCTCCGAGGCTCCATCTGCCACTGGTGCCAGGGCGTTTCCCACACAGCTGTTGGGGGTGACCTCAACCCTCGGGGGCTCAAGAGACAAACGTTTACTGACCGCTTCCGTTTCTGCGGGCAGGGATTCGGGGTGCTCAGCAGGGTCTTCCATGGCGGGTGAGGTCAAGCTGTCCCCAGGTCTGCTATCACCGGAGGCGTGGCTGAGACTGGCTTCGACCACGGCTGGCGGGGCCTCAGGTGCCCGGCTTGGGAGCCTGGTGGGGGCGGTGCCATCGTGCTTTGCCCAGGGGGCACTAAGAAAGGGCGATCATCAAAACGCTCGAAAGATGAGTTCAAGTCACTTGTAGACCGTGATGCTAAGTGAAATAAGTCGGACTCAGAAGATTAAATATTATAAGGTTTCTCTTATTAAAGAAACCCAAAATATAAATAAATGAGAGTAAAATAAAGGAGAGATGGTAGGACATAGGTAGGCTTTTTGGAGATAAGGAGGTCAAAGGAAGGGGAAGGGGGCGCTCCACAGACGGAGAGAAATTTCCCACAATGAGAGAATTATCAAGCATCCCAAACAGACACCACTACCGCAGAAAGCGAGATGGAAGCGCTCGGTGCTGCATGACCCTGGAGCAGAGCCGTCACTCCTGCCTCTCCAGTTTGCTTCCCTGACTTGAGGACAGGACTGCAGGATGGGGAGAAGCCGCTGCGTGGTGGTGGCAGCCGCTGCCCACCCTGTGAAGTGGCTTTGTCTGCAGCCAGGGCCCACCGCAGAGTCGAGACAGCAGCTGCTGCAGACACTGCTCTGGGGCTTCAGGCCCGGCCCTGAGCTCTGCGGGGGAGGGGGGGAGGGGTCCCCGCGAGGAGGCGGGAACGGTCACCGGAAGCTCAGTAGCCTGCGGCCGAAGCCCTCCAGGCTGTTCCCACCTGAAGGGACAACAGGGACATAGCTGGGACAGCGCCTGCAGTGTGGCCCCCACATAGCAGAGGCAAAAAGGCGGGTCCCAGGCCCAGGAGTCCCAGGACTCGGCCCTCCCCAGGTGCTGGGTGAGTGTTAACGGTGTTAACACAGGCAGGTGCGATTTGTCTCCAGGACTCCACACAGCTGCTTAAATGTACAGACTTCTTGTCATGGCCTCACATGCTCCCCAGGTCATCCCTCCAATAAACTCTCCTCCTGATACCTTAAAAACAGTCAGGGAGAGAACTTAGGTATTCTGGATGTTCTGCAATGATTAGAAAACTCTCCCAGACCTTAAGTCTTTTCTGGTGCATTTATGCTCACAGCTCAGTAATGATGTACTGGTCACCAATGCTGCATAACAAATCACCCCAAACACAGGCATCTAGCATGATATCGCTCTATTTACATACCAGGAATTCAGGGAAGGCTCCCCTGGGCTGACACCCAGGGAATTTCTGAGGATGTGGGCTGGGGCCTGCAGCATTTGCTTCCCAGATGTCTACACCTGGGGTCTGCGGCGAGGCGGAGCTGGTGGACCCCTCAGATGGTGCTGGTGGAAGCAGGTGGAGGGCACCTGGCCTTTTGGAAAGTCACTGGGTCACTTCTGCCATATTTAATTAATCATAACTCACTCTGGTCTCCCGTGTGTAAGTGAATCCGGAGCCCAGCTCAGATTGAAAGAGACAAGAGTGAGACTCCGAGACCCTATTTCTGATGGCAGAGTGGTGAGGTGCCCTCACAGATGGGCAGGTGGGACTGGAGAAATTGCTGTGGCACCACTGGAAAATTCAATCTCTTATAGCAGCAAGCAGCACTTCCTGTGTCTGAAAGTCTGTACTCACTCGAGATTGAACATTTTCTTCTCCAACCTAAATAATCACCCTCATTCCCAAGGGCCACTGGCAATGTAGAGCTGGCTTGCACCTTAAACACGCTGTCATGTAATCATGTCACTGTAAGACAAAGGCCTGAACAGTGGAAGTATGGCTTGCCTCAGTTTACCTAGCTAGCCAGGGGCACAGTGGCACTGAGAATCCCGGCCTCCTGTGTCCTGGGCTCGCCTGCCTTTGGTGACCTCTGCTGGATGCCCTTCTGCCTCGTTGTCCTTGTCCCTGTCCCTGTCACAGAGGGCGACCTTTGGTCGTGTTCAGGTACCCCAGGGACCCTGCCACATCACCCCGCCCACTCCTGAGGCCAACACTGCAGGACCCGACTTGCCACCATCCTGCAGGGGAAGACTGCCCTGAGAGAGGCCGAGTTGAGATGGCCACGGAAAAAAGACAGAGGCTGCTGGGCGTGGCCAGCTGTCCGCCTGCCATGCTGTTGGTCCTGTTCTGTGACTCCGTGGTTTTGTTGCAATTTAAAGTGAATGGAGTGCACTTTCCCAGCCAGAAGCATCTCAGTGAGAAAATCCCTCTTCCTGGGAGGACAGAGCAGGAGGCCTGGGGCCATAAAGACACTCACTGGGGAGCTGCTGGCCTGCAGCTTGGGCTGGATGTCCAGGAGCCACAGTGGGCCACGGGTTGACTCTGAGGCTGGAGGCCACAGGACAGAGGAAGACAGAGTGCCGAGGGTTGGACTCTAGGTTTCTTGTTTCTAAGTGGGGAACAGATGCATCTCCCCATGAGGCCCGCTCCCTGCTCAGTGTGTGTGGGGGCTGACAGCATCGCTTCCTGCGGGACTTGTTAGGGAAGGTGAACCTCGTGCCAGCCCCAGGCCTTCCGAGTCAGAATCTGCATTTCAACCAGTTCCTTCAGTACACCATGTGCCTGGGATGGACTGAGAGGCACCCACCAGGACTGTTATCTTCCTGTTATTAGTGCCTGAACCTGATCTTTTTTGGAGGGTGGGGTGGTAATGGGGATTGAACCCAGGGTCTTTACACTGAGCTACATTTCCAGCCCTTTTTATTTTGAGGTAAGGTCTGGCCAAATTGCTCAGGCTGGGCTCCAACTTGCCACCCTCCTGCCTCAGCCTCCCAGTGCCAGGATTACAGGTGCACAGCACCACCCCCAGCTGAATTTAATCCGCCTGGATAGGGTAGGTGATACCCCTGTGGGGTCCCTGAGGAAGTGGGGATGGAGGAAGGATTGTAGGGCCACTCACTAATGCACACCCCACGCTTTCCTTCCCTGCACACAGGCGTGACTTTCCAGAAAGTTCCCCACCAGCCTGGCCTGCCTTTGCTCCTCCCCCACTGTCCCTAACCTGAAGGTATCGGGGCTGATGATGACATTTACCCCAGGGAGGCAGGTGAGGGGTTCACAGTCATTCTGAAACCTGGTGGCCTGCAGAATAGATTGTCCTTCCCGGAAGCCACAGCCTTGTTTTGCAACACAGGCGTTTCTAGGCTGGGTTTCCAAGACCGGCAGTCACCGTCACCCTTTCTGTGACTCAGACTTTATTGTCTAAGTGGCTCTTGGGGCTGTGGAGAAGGGGTGCACTCCAGCACCCTGCACCCCCAGAGGGCCTGGGTGGGGTGAGCCCAGATGCGGCTCCTAAGGGTGATACCCTGGAAGGCCGTTCTTGGGGCAGCTGTTCCAACATCACAGGAACCCTCCCATCTTGCCAGGGAGCCGAGGGCTGAGAATTCATGGAGATCCGGTTTCCAGCCCGGATTCTTGCCCTGGGCCTACTTGTGACTCTGGGCAAGTTCCTAACCTTCTCCAAGCCCTCGCTCTGCTCTCCCTGAGGTCACCTGTGTTTTCTGTCATCATGCAGCAGGTTAACACCTTCCCGAGGGGGTGCTGTGGATTCAGGCACAAAGTCAGAGGGTCGAGGCCTCGGGTTTACACTGAGCAGATGGGTGGTCTTGTATGCCAGCACTGCTTTTCTTCCCAATTGCTTTTAAGTCCACATTTGCAGTGCGCAGGATGGCCTTTGTTGTGGGAGTCGTTCCACATGCAGAACACTTCTTAATTCTTTTTCATCCCCTTCCGCTCCTTCCCTTCTCTCCATTTCTTGGCTCCCTTTCCTTTTGCCAAAGATCTGTCTCCCTGACTCCTATGCGCTGTGTTTTATTTTGCTGTTTTTATCTTGCATCTCTCATAGAAGAGAAAGCACGCAGCACTGAGGCTCGTGTGCACCTCTCACCCTTCACACGCAGATGTGTCCTTGGAGATGCGGGGGTGGCCGCTGTGTCTGTGGGTCTAACAGTTTCTCTGCGGTGGTTCTGCTGGCCCCGGGCACCCATACTTAGTGGGGAGGGTGAGAACTCTCTGCTACTGACTTGGGAAGATCAAATAATCGCACTGTCCCGCCAGACTGTCGCTCCCTGGGGAGAAATGAGGCCCTTTGTGGAGTCAGTAACCCCCACCACGGAGCCCACGGCCATGTGCTGGGAGAGCAGAGCTCCAGCCTTGCAGGGGTGGGCTTTGGGGTGCTGGGCGGGGAGACCCCGTGTAGAGGTTGCCTCCCGTCTGATGTGACAGTTTCTGCTGCGGCTATGGCTTTCGTCACACTTCCTGCTTTTGTCCAGTCACTGCTCGCCCTCTGTGGGAGGCCACAGCCCGGGTGCTTCAATTCTTTGAGGGCTGACACCACTCAGGCAGGCAGTGCGGTGGTCTTTGCCTTGGTGTGTGAATGTCAAGGTGAAATGACATGCAGGGAGTTTGCTTTTGGTCAGTTATTACAGCACTGCTAGAGAAGCCGTGCTCCGCAACACATCCTGGCATTGGATTTCTAGATTTCAGCAGAAACTAGAACCCAGGTGACAAGTGCACCATGGTGATGTCCTCACACAGCAGGAACTCAAGTTCATTAGCACTGAACAGGTCAGCTCCTCTCTGTTACACACACACACACACCCCTTATTGTCTTCCAAAATTTTGGGGGTTTTTGGGTCTTTTTGAGACAGGGTCTCACTATGTAGCACAGGCTGGCCCTGAACTCATGGCGATCCTCCTGCCTCAGCTTCCTGAGTGCTGGGATTACAGATGTGCACCACTACACCTAGCTAGAATTTTTAACGATTCCTTCTTCATAATACTGCAAAAACTTTCCAGGTTTTTGATTAAACAGTTCTCAAAGGGCTCCGGATGTCCTCACTTGTGCCAAAGCCAAGTGCACCTCTGTCCTGGAATTCCTTTTGACTGCATTTCCAATCTGGCTGATTTTTTTTTTCATTCATGTGTCTTGCTCTTTTTTGAGAAGTGCATCATCAAGTAATTTTGTTATCAGAAAGAAATGAATGCAAGTTGGCTGAGTTCTTGCCTTTCTCAATAACCTTTCCCCCGGGGAGCCCTGGCCTGTGGACGGGCCCTGGAGGCCTAGGCTTCACTTTCAGCAGACCCCAGGGACTCCGGTCATTACCCCATACTGTAAGCCCTGGGATGAAGGCTGTCGCTTCCGGCCCCCAGGAGTGGGATAGGCAGGGCAGGGTTGGGGTTCCCACAGCAGTGTGGTGCCGTTCGGCAACCGCTTCCCCTTGTGGGCATCCTGGTCTTCGTACTTGCTGATTTTGGGAGGGTCAGGAGAGACCACATCCGCCCTGAGCAGTGGCTCCCAGTCTAAAGCAGTTCCCAGAGTGCTGTGCGCCTCGGCCTCTGTCATTCAGGGTTTCCACTTCCAGCCGGGACAGAATCGTCTTCCTCCCTGTGGACAGACTGTCAGGAATCTTTTCTTCTTTGTGAATCTTTATTATTATTATTATTTTTTTTTTAATTTTAATTTTTTTTTTTGTACCAGGGATCAAACTCAGAACCTTATGCTTGCGAGGAAGGCGGCGGAACCCCTGAGCTAAATCCTCGGCCCTCTACGTGAGTCTTTAATGTTATTTCAAGTTTTCTACGGAGAGGGGTGGCACACATGGCAACTGTCATCTTAGCCCACAAGTCAGCAATTAGTAAATGTTTTCTTTCAAATGAAGATGATTCTCTTGGTTACCAAGTCGTATTCCTCATGGATAATCAGAAAAATAACTAAATCACCCAAATATCCCGTAACGTTCCATGTTTGTGAGTAGAACTAATATTCTATGAACATATTAATATTGTCCATTACACATTACTACATTATAACAGACTGGGAACGACATCTTCTGGTTGGTACTACGTAACGTTACGTCAGATGACAGAATTATATAATACATAATATAAAGTAATACTTCCATCGCACCTGCTCATTACCCCTACTTTCATTCAAATATAACCGTTCTCTTCCCATGTCAAAATCTGCCCAATTATTTTTAGGTGCTTCCAAGGGAAGATTCAGAGTGAATTATAACTCAGAAAAATAGAGTTAGAATGCAAAGTTGTTTCTTGATGTATTATTTATATAGGTGAAAAACTAGAGATATATCTAGCCGCAAGGAACTAAGAAATAATAACATAATGGACAGACAGAATTTAAAAGTGATATTTATGGCTGTTTTTAATGGTAGGGGGTGAAAATGATGTCTGGTGGAATATTTAGGGACAAAAAAGGATGTACAATTGCATACACCCACGATTTAGATGATTAAAAATATGTATTAGATTCACTGGTGTCTTAGCAGGCTAGAACGCGCCATGCTTTCCTTTATACTTGTGCCTTGTTTTTTGTTTGTTTGTTTGTCTTGGTACCGGGGATCGAACTCAGGACCTTGTGCTTGCGAGGCAGGCGCGGTGCCACTGAGCTGAACCCCGGCCCCGCTTCGCTCTTGCTGAGCTGGCGGGGAGGAGTCTCACCCATCCGTTTCCGCTCAGCATCGTCCGCTCAGCTTCCGTTTCTGCCCTCCCGCCCCTCCCCACGCACTCCTATCCGTACTGTTTCAGGGTTGGGGGGAAGCCACTCGGAGGTACCCGGAATTCTCTGGTTCTGCTTTTGGTAGCGCGTTACCAAGTGCTGTGTGGTGTGACATTTGTTCCTTCCTCAATGCAAGAACTTCTGGGAGGTTTTTTTTTTGCCTCTTTTCTTAAAAACAAAAACCATCAACTTCTGTGTCTCTTAGATTTGAAGGAGAGAGACTTTCAGACCTGCTTCGTCTTTCCTTGCCACATCTCGTAGTTAGTATTTAAAAGCACAGATGCCTCCTGTTTACTTCCCACTTTTAGTGAAAGAGAGAAAAAAAATCCTGCTCTACTGGCTTAATTTTGTTTTGCCCTTTGTTTCTAATGGCCGTTCATGCGAAGGGTACTTACCGGGTCTCCCCCACTGTGACAGTGAGGCAAACCAGACAGCCAGCCGGGCGGAGGTCACAAGAACCCGTGCTAACAGGTGGCGCGAGACATTTCCTCGGCGAGGACACGTGCAGGACGCCGGGCGGAGCACTGTACGGGGACCAATCAGAAAGCATTTTCTCAGGCTTTCATTTGAATCGGGACCAATCAGAAGATGCTACTCCCGGTCAGTTGTGGTCCCCCCAAACCTTATGCGTTCAGAGGTGGCTGAATCTGAAGTGTGTGATGCTGGGGTTGAGGGCGTGTGGTTACTAAGCCACTGCACGGTGGCTTGGCACCACCCTGATCCCTGCAGCCTGGATGGGATGAAGGGGGCGAAAGATACCGTGATGATCTCTTCCTTGCCTTGCGTGCGCCACGTTGTTTCTCCTCCGCTGTGCCTGTTCGCCATCCCTGCCTTGGAGCCTGCTCATTATGGACTGCACCTCTAGGAACGGCGAGCCAACTAAACCCCTTTCCCTCTAGCTTTGGGGGTGGGGTATTTTCTCTCCACCCCGAGAGAGAAAAGTACCTAACACACAGCCCTTCGTTTCCTCATGGGCACCCAGGACCGATCCAAAGACACTGTTTCTGATCCCTCATTTACAGCCAGTGAGAGGCCAAGCGAGGCTTTGATAGAGCCATCGTCCCAGGGCTGTATTTGCAAGAGGTGGGGGTCAAGCCACGTGTTTGGGGTACAAAGGATCCCTTTCCCTTTATCCTGGGGGCCCTGAGAGCCTTTTCACTGGCCATCTCTCTCCCTGTAGAGGGTACATCTTTCCTGCCTTCAATAAAACTACACCCTTGCTGCCTCTTTTGGGGGGTCTTGTCCAGTTCCTTGTGCAGGACACCAAGGACCTAGAAAGAAGCTCCCAGGCCCCCATCCGGTAACGATAGGCCCTGGAGAGCCAGCTTTTCCTTAGCGCAGAGCTGGCTTGGGCTGAAGTGACACAGTCCCTTTTCAGTCCCAGACAGGAAGCGATGAAAGTCCCCATCTGTAAAATAGGTGGGTTACCTTGGTACTCCATGGGCTCCTTTCAGGTTCCAAAAACTCCAGGAGTCCTTTACAGGGTGGGAGAGGAAGAGAGCAGGTATGGAGCAGGAGACGGTGAGCCAGGGAGTTTGAGTACTGTCATTTTTTTGTAAAGGTTTCATCAGTAATGGAAATAACAATAACAAAGACCGTTGACAAGAGCCATTTACGTTCCTACCCGTGGACTAGCTGGCACCACGGAAGCAGCGGGCCTATAATATGGACAGAGCTCAGACCGGAAGTGTGGCCAGGAGATTTTCCTGTAAACAGAGCCTCCTGTTAGAGAAGGTGAGTTCTGGTCAGCTGTGCTGTGTAACAAACCACCCCAAACAGGCCTATGGCAGTCCCAATCTGGGGGGACCAGGCTGGGCCTTGGTGTGGTGGGAAGACGGGGGCTGGGTTGGGATTGTCTTGGGGGAGCTGTCGCTCCCGAGTCCGGAACCTGGGCTGGGTGGACTCAGGCAGCTGGGGGACTTAGTCGCTCCTTACCCCTATCGTGCCCTTCCTTCCTCTCCTCCCCGACTCCCTTTTCCTCCTTTCCCCTCCCCCTGTGGGCTCACATTGCACAGGGGAGGAGCAGCTTCCCTGCCCCTGAGAGCACCAATTCTAGGGCTAAGATGGGCTGTGTTCAGGACTCCGTGACTGGGGTTACGGGCTGAAGGCCAGTGTGAAGCTAACAGAGGAGTAGTTTTCCAACTTCTCCCATCTAGGCCATCAGGAGAGATTTGCTTTTTACTTTTTGGGGTCTGAGTTTGTTTCTTCTCAAAACATTACAGATATTTAGCAGATAGCTGGGACAGTGGTGCATGCCTGTCATTCCAGTACTCTGGGGGGCTGAGGCAGGAAGATGCCCAGTCTGAGCCCAGAGTGGGCAAGGTCGTGGAGCTGCACTTTCCCACCTGGTTCCCGAGTGGGCAGGACGGCCTCATGTCCTGCACGGTGGAACCCTGGCTTCCTCCTCCTGCTGGCTCCTGCCTGACGTTGGCCCTGGAGGGACCCTGAAGGCCTCTTCGTGCGCAGTGAGCTCCCCTCTTCCTGTGCCGCGGGGGTGTCCTTGTGTGGTGGCCCGACTTTGGGCTGAGGTGCTGGCGAGACGGTGCACGCCCAGCTACTCTGTCCCGGGTCCACCTGCCCCACGGGAGGCTTGCAGCCTAGCGCCTGCTGCAGACCCACCTCGCGACGTCCTTCCTTCCCTCACAACGCTCCTTCGTCCCCTTTCCTCTGCCTGAGGAGAAAGAGCGCACCTGCCTTCCTCAGGTACCTCTGCATCTGCAGATGCTTCTCGTGGGCGATGTCCCCTGCACACTCCCCAGTGACTCCATCCTCTTACCCCTTGTTCTTGCTCCCCCTAATCTGCCAAGGAAGTAGCAGCCCTCTCCGCAGTTCTTTGTTCTCTGATGTCCTTTGGTTCCCAGAAGCGGTTTCTAGGGCAATGAGTGTCTCAGCATCCTGCTGGGGACGAGGGTCAGCAGCCATCTGAATCAGTGATGGGCAATGACCCTCATTAACAAGCAGGGCTGTGCAAGGCACATCAAGGGAAGGGGATTTTTTTCAACCTATCAAACTGGTGTAAAAGTTTTTTTTAAATTAATGTTTCCTGCAGACTTGCTGATTGTTTGGTTTATTTGGCCCAGTATCTGTTTACTTACACTGTATCTTCTGTAGCTTGTCTTCCTGGTCTGTTTTGTAACCCCCCACCCCCCGCCGCCCATTGTTTTGAATGATTTGCATCTGTGGCTTTCGGTTTCATCCCTTCCATGCCCCCTGGATCAGCTTTGGGGGAGTTGGGAGTGTGGGGAGGGATTTTGTTGGCTTGCCTTCCCATTTGTTTATTGTTGTGTTGAGGCCTGTGGGTTGATTTCAGTGGAAAGCTTTGTTTCTACCACGGAGACCTCTTTGGTTAATGTCTACTTTTCGGTGGTGTCCCCTGGGCGGGGCTGACTGTGGGCCTTTGCCTCTGTCCCAGGATCCAGCCACCTCTGCTCACCTGCAATGGAAGGTGCAGTGTACTTGGCCCAGGACCTGGTCCACAGGGATGGGCCACGGTTTTGAATGACCCCAGGCATCTCCATGAAACCAGTTAAGGGCAATAGCTGTGTCACCTTGGCCACGTAATAAAATCAGCATCAATTATACCATCAAATACAAAGTGAATATTGACAAACCCGGGGACCAATAGCCATAGAAAAGACATCTATAATTATAGTACGACACAAGCTAATTGTATTTTAAAGATTCTTAGGGATTTTTTTTTTTTTTTTGGTCGGAGTTGGAAAAAGCATTGTCACCTTGGGTAATGTTTTAGGCCAAGCCTGCAGTTTTCTTAAAAGTATGATTTAAAATTTGCAATTTTCCTGTCTCCATTCCACTTACCTTCAGTTTTTCTGTCCCACCTCCCTTATATGTGCCAGACACTGCTGTAAATATGTTACCTACTTAACATTCACGGCAACCCAGTGAGAGTAGGGCTTTGGGGTAAGAGAGGGTCAGACAGGGTCTGGCTATGCAGTTCAGGCTGGCCTTGAACTCACTATGTAGCCCAGGCTGGCCTTGAAGTCAAAGTGATCATCCTGCCTCAGCCTCCCGAGTGCCGGGATTACAGGTGTGCACCACTACGCCTGGTTCAAGGCAGGGTATTTGCATCCCCATTTTACAGATGAGGAAACTGAGAAGCTCTTTCCTCAGGGTCATCTGGTCAGCCTTCAATCCCAGGCTCTATGACCTGAAGGTCTAGAAACACCAAGGTGGTAGGTGTCCTGGGAAAACAAGGGAAACGTGCATGATACGATTTAAGGGAAGGAACCAGATTCCAAAGCAACACATCCAGCCCTGTCATTACTTTAAAAACAGCACGTAAAAATATATAGAACAAAGAGCAGAAAATGCCCTTCAGAACGGGAGATCAGATTACAGTGTGACTTTAGCTTTCTTCCTCACGCTGTCCAAGCTGGCGGGGGACACTGCAGTGGCCTCTGTGGTTCGTAGAAGCAAACACCTACAGTTTTCTCTTCAGGAAATGACTTTGAGCCACACTGGGCCAGAAGACTCAGGTGTCAAGGAGGGGCTGCTTCCCGGGACCACAAGCAGAGACCCCAGGGACCCCTGGGATGAGAGTGGGCTTGCACTGGCCAGAGCTCTTCTGGTGCTTCCCTGGCCCCCTGCTCCCTGGAGAGCTTCGTGGAAATTGCATCTGGAAACTTCTGGAAAATATCCAGTCCCTGCCCTCCACCCCCCAGGTCCTGAGGAAATCCCCTTGTGTCAGCGGCGAGTCATGCCCAGCTCCCTAGTTGTTTCCCTCCAGAAATCCAAATGCCTGTGAAATTTCCCACAGAACTTGGGAAAGGAGGCCTCACTGTCCCCCATGGGGGGCTAAATTTAAACACTGAGCTTGGACCGTGGAAAAAAGAACTCCCCTTTCCTTTCTTGGCACCCTCCCGCGAGACAAGCCTGGGAGTTGTGAATCCTTCCCCTGTTGCTCTGACCTGTTTGTAAAAGCGGAGTAGACCTCTCTCCAGCTTTACAATCCTGAATGTTCTCAGGGCCTGGGAGCCACCTCTTTGAAATGTAAACCTAACGTGTGATACGGGTGCACTGGGGAAGCTGAGGCAGGAGGACTGCAAGTTCAAGCCCAACTTGGGTGATCTAGTGACTTATCAAGACCGGAGTAAAAAAAAAAAAGAAGTGCTGAGGGTGTGCCTCAGTGTGAAGGCCCTGAGTCCAACCCCCAGTACTGCAAAAAGAAAAAAGTACGTACACAACACAGAAGGTTGAGCCTGTATCTCGGCACAGAAGCATGCTGGGTAAAGCAATGAGCCAGCTAACTAGGGGGCGTCTGGGGACCGGAAGTTGCAGTACAGGGCCTGGTGCCGTCAGACCTTTGGAAAGACCAGTGCTGGCTCCCTTGGGCACTGTGTGTCAGCACCCTGACCACTCAGGGCAATCTCTTTTGTCTCTGTCGCTTCACCGTGGGCCATTGCCATGTACACGTCGTCTGGTAGATGCCCCTCCACCGCGAGACTCTTGTCCTTTTCTATGTATTGTGGAGAGGATTCTGTGTTGGCAGATCTTTCATTCTCCCCATGCACCAACTTTTTACTTTTTTTTTTGGTACCAGGGATCAAACTCAGGACCTTGCACTTTCGAGGCAGGCGGCGGCACCACTGAGCTACATCCCTGGTCCTGATTTTTTACATTTTTGCTGTTGTGGTTGTACCTGGGATCAAACTCGGGACCTTGCACTTGAGAGGCAGGCGGTGGAACCTCTGAACTAAATCCCTGACCCTTAGCTTTTTACATTTCTAACTGACAAGTAACAGCTGTACCTGTAGATGGAATGTATCGAGGTTGTTTCATATAGGCAAACAATGCTCCATGGTCCAACTCATATAGGAGGTGAAATATGAAAATATTATATCTCCCGACCTGTTAGATGTCTGATATGCTGAGTTTGTGTTCTCTAAAATTAAAGAATGAATTCTAGAAACAGCATAAGTTAAAAGTGGGAAACATTTAATGAGAGGACGCTCCTGAGAGGCAGGGGAAGACCCGAATGGCTAGCTGGGGACCCCACTTTACAGGGGAGTTTTATAGAGCAAAACCCATGTGGGCACAGTGTGGGTTAAAGCTGTGATCAACTACGAAGGCTACGAGTGTAGCCCCTTAGGTAGCAGTGATCCAGTGGGAGGCGAGACCATGGAAAGAACAGGGACCCCTCAGGTAGGTGATGCGCTGGGGGTCTTGGTCACCCACTGAAGAGACGGACCCCTTTCCAAGCTTTACTAAACTAGGTATTATCACTTATCTCTTCCTTGGGGAAGTATGTAGACCTGATCTACTTGTTGTTATCTTGAGGCCTAGCCTCTGGCTGATGTGTATCCGGCCGCAATAGTGTGTTTTTACCTTTTTTCCTGACTTTCTGAGGGCTCAGCCCTGTCTGACGGCCTATAATATTTGACCTAATTTAGCTGTCTATAACACAATCAGGGAATCAGCATGTGTGTCAGCTCTAACACTAGCCGGCTTTTTAGCTGGGTATAATAGTACAGACAGTCAGGCAGTTCTCGCACACACTGAGCTCGCACTTCTGAGCACGTCACTTCCTGTCCCCATGTCTCCTTCTGCCTGCTCTTCCTGGAGGAGCCCTTGCTCCCATGAGTAGGGCCGAGTGGCCTCGTGTGGCGGGGTGCTGTTCTCCGTGCTGCTCCTCTGTCCCAGGCCTTCCACACGGTGCTTCCAGGCCCCTCGGTCTGGGGACAGCTGTCCCAGCCCCACAGTTTGCACTGTTTATTACCAGTGAGCACCAGTGTGTCCCTGGAAACGGGGCCTGGACATCTGTGACTGAGGCACCGTCCCGACCAGCCCCTGCCAAGAGCTAGGCTGGCGGGAAGCGAGAGGGTGAGATTCTTTGCACGACACCCCACTTTGGCAGGGTGCCGCTGTGCATGGCTGCGTAGAGAGACCATGGCCCATTGCCGCCATTTGTTTATCCTTCAAAGAGACGACTAAACCCGGGTTCTCTGTTAGAGGCCATCAACAGGGAAAAAACAATTCTACTCCCCCAGCTATTCCTACACTTTCTTACCTTTTCCTAAAGACAACAGCAAAGATCAAATTCTCCTTTATTTGAGCTTTTTTAAAAACAAAACTTCCTCTCAAGGCTCTGGTGACTGGTTTGTTAATTTTTCTGGCGGGAAAGGAGTTAAGATGACAGGATTCGTAACACCATCACACAGGCAATTGTAACGATGTACAATAGGTCTGCTCTGGATCCACAGTTCTGTGGAAAGGGCTCCTCTGCAAATTCAAGAGGAGGGTTTTCCCACCTAACTGGGCCTTATACTGCATCTCTTTGAGAAGAAAGCATTCGTCCGGGCTTAATTCAATTATTGATTTAATAGTTTCTCCATATGGAAAATTCATTATTTTTACACAGATGTTTTTCTTTGTACTCATTAAGAATAGTAATGATATGGTCTTACATAGCATCCTGCAATCTGTATTTTTTGTTTGTTTTGGTTTTCTGAGACAGGATCTCACTATGTAGTTCAGGATGTCCTTGAACTCACCTTGGAGCCCTGGCCGGCCTCCTACTGGAGGCAATCTTCCTGCCTCGGCTTCCCGGGTGCTGGGATTATAGACGTGTGCCACTGCACCTGGACATTTTGTTTGTGTGCCTTGTGCTGCTGAGGATGTGGCCCAGGGGCTCCCCAGCCAGGCAAGTGCCTGATCCCTGAGCTACACCAGACTCAGCGCGCTACTGTTAGACCCTCCACTGCCTCCAACTTTTTTTGGCGGGGGGCATTGGCATGGCACTGAACGTTCTTGTCCAGACTCTCTGGTTGGTTCTTTAGGATCATTGCTAGAAATGAAGTTCCCGGGTCAGAGAGCACAAGTCATTTCGAGATTCAAAGAGCCACGAGAGAAGCTCCTCCCTGGAGGGAGGGCCGACGGCCCACCGCAACTTCTCTCTTCCGGCTTCTGCAGAAGTACGTGAGTAACCCATCCCAGTGATTCACTATGTCCGAGATAGATCACCCGCACATGAGAGCACAAAATGCAGAAAAAGCTGCTTTGGTCCTTTCGATTGCATTTATTTGACTCCATCCAAAGAGGCTATGCTATCCCTGCCCCGGGCGGTGCCCTGACACCCACCCGGACCACAGCCGGGCCGGACCTGGGGGACACAGGGAGGGAGAGCGTGCCCAGCGTCTGCCTTCGCTCCCAGGGCTCCGGGCCCTGGGGAGGGTCGCTCAGGCCACAAGTCAGGGAAGAGAGGCTGCAGACCCAAACGTGGGGATGCAGACAGCTCAGGGCTGGCGGGGCCTGGCTGTGGGTGGGGGAGCCTGCTGCCTGGAGCGGGGTGTCTGGGGTCTCCAGCCAGGGCCAGGGAGGGCTGCGAGAGAGAAGAACCCAGTTCCAGCAAACTAGGGAGAGTCGGCCTGCAGGGGAAAGGTGGGGAGAGGGCGGAGGCACCAGGCAGGAAGGGAAGCGACAAGGCCATGAGAGGGAAGGCACAGTTCACGACAGGTTTCCTTGGGAGCCCAAGGATCTTGTATCCTTCACAAGACCCCAGGGGATCCGTTTCCTCTTCCTGTCCTTCTCCCCCTCCCCTCCCTCTCCTCCTCCTCCCTTTGTTGTTTTCTGGGGGGGGGGTCTTACTGTATAGCAGAGGCTGGGCTTGCACTCACTGTATACCCAGGTTGGCTTCGAATTTGCTGCAATGCTCCTGCCTCAGCCTCCTGGGTGCTGCGATTACAGGTGTGCGTGTTCGGTGTCTGAGTGGCTGCACGCCTGTGTGTTCCCTGCAACAGGACACTGGCTGTGGGCCAGCAGGCTGCAGAGCCGCAGGGCTCCTCCCCAATGGCTGCTGCTGGCCAGCGCCTCTCTGGGCCTCTCTGCTGTCTTTGGAGCTTCTCCCTGTGTCTTGGGGCCATTTGCTAACTGGATTGTTTGTTGTTTGATGTTGGGTCTTGAGCGGTCTTTAAATATTGGAGATAGGAATTTTCTCAGCTGTGTGTTTCTCAAGTTTCATCCCAGTCTGTAATTTCATTTTTCATCCTCATAACAGGATCTTTCAGAGAGTAAAAATTTTTAATATGAAATGCAGTTTATTGATTTTTTTTGTCTTGTTTTGTGGATCGAATTTTGACATCATATCTAAGAACTGTGCCTAAGCCAAAGGCCTGGTTTTTTTTCACATTATTTTCTAAAAGTTTTTAGTTTTGCATTAAATCTATCATTTATTTTTAGACAATTTTTAATAAGGTGGGAAGCTAGCTCAAAATTAATTTTATGCCTGATGGATTGTCCCAGTTCCGCTGGCTCCTTCCTGCCTTGGGTTTTCCAGCTGACTCTACTTAGTGCCGGGTTACTTCTGGCTTCTGTGTCCTGCAGTAATTCCCATGACGGTTCTTCCCCAGTGCCACACTGCGCAGAGCCATTCTATATACATTTGGGGAAAGATCGTTTCATAATTAAAGTATGACTATGGCCGTCTAAGGCCCAATGTCGCCTTGCCCGGGAGCTGGGCGTGGCACGCAGAAACGTGACTCCGTTTTGCCTCTGGTCACAGCTGAGGCCTCCATGGCCCTGTGATGCAGCCACTCAGAAACCAGACATGCACACCTGTAATCGCAGCACCCAGGAGGCTGAGGCAGGAGCAAGACAGACAGCACCAGCCGAAGACATCCGGGTTCTTTGAGCACTGAGTAGTAACACAGAAGAGAAAGGTTTCACCTTGGGGTGGGGGCAAGTTCCTCATCAGCTTAACCCATCCCAGCTACTGTTGCAGGGATTCGCTGCCACACAGGCCCACCACCGCCCCCACGTCACTGGGTGCTCCCTCCAATTATTGTGCACACCCAGTAAGTGACGGCCAGCTGGGAGAGCCCTTTCTTTGTGCTCTCTGAGGCCCTGACCCCCTGGTCCCCGGGTACTGGGAGCTCACATAAGCCTCTGGTCTTTTTTCTGTAGACCTCACTGTCCCCCTTTCTAGGCAGCTGGAGGGTTGATTGGCCTCTGATACCACACAGCCTTGGCCAATCCGGCCACATTTGAAGCCCTGAAATGGGGTAAAGTGATTCCTTCCATTTCATTCTCTTTTTTTTTGGTACCGGGGATTGAACTCGGGTCCTTGCGCAGCAGGCGGCAGAACCACTGAGCTAAATCCCTGGCCCCTCATTACTCCTTTTAAAATGATTTAGCTGTTCTGGTTCTTTTGCTTTCCATATAAGTTGCAGAACAATCTTGTCTGTGTCTGCTAAAACCTTGTGAGGTTTTAAGAGTGATGAGTGTCAATTTGGGTAGAGCAAGCATCCTCATTATGTTGATTCTTCCAGTCCACGGACACAGGGTCTCTCCATTTATTGAGATCTTTGGCTCCTTGCCAGAGGTAGTGGTACACGCCTGTAATCTCAGCACTCAGGAGGCTGAGGCAGGAGGATTATCATGAGTTCTAGGCTAGGTGGGCTACAGAACGAGTTCTCAGCCAGCCTGAGCTACATAGCAAGACTCTGTCTCCAAAACAAATAACCAAACAAAAAAATAGATCTTTGGTTTCTTTCATCTGCATTTTGTGGTTTCCAGCTTTAAATAGGAGGGAAGTAGGGACACACTGCAACACAAATGAAACTCAAATCCATTATTTCACGTGAAATCAGACAATCACAAAAGACAAACTCTCTATGACTGCACTCAGATGAGAACCAGGGAGAGTGAAATTCACGGGAACAGAACCGCGAGTGTTTGCTGCCGGAGCTGGGAGAGAAGAGGAAGGGGTGGGGGGCTGCGTTTGACGGGGACAGAGTTCCGGTTGGGATGATGAAAGGTTCTGGAGAGGCACAGTGGTGACAGCTGCACAAAAACGCAACGCACAAAGTGCCATGGAGCTCTGCGACTTGAAAGCGGAACCGTGGTGAATTGTGTAAGGCGCGTTCTCCCGAAGGGACGCCTTCCAGGTCAGAGCACAGAGGCAGAAGACGGAACTCCCGGAAGCCTCCAGCTGGAGCCGGCTTTGAGAGCGCTGCCCGGGACCTGTGCTTATCACTGCGGGTCTTCCTCCCTCCGGGTGAGGACTTCTGAGATCGGACAGCGTGGGCTCGGGGTCTCCTAGAGATCAGGTGTAAAGACAGGGAACTGCAACTGCTGAGTGAGGCAGGCGGGTTCTGCCTGCGGGTGTGGGGAACACATCTGCAGTCTGGCCGGGGCGACGATGTCAGTGGAGCCTGCGGCAAGTCCTGGGCTTCGAACCCAGGGCCTCTGCACTGAGCCGTATCCCCAGCCTTTTAAAGTTTTTGTCTTGATGGGCCGGGGATTTAGCTCAGTGGTTCCACCGCCTGCTTCACAAGCGCAAGGTCCCGAGTTTGACCCCCGGTACCAGACATAAACAAATAAATAAATAAGTAAAATTTTTATTCTGAGACAGGCTTTCGCTTAGTTGCCCAAATTTGCAATCTCCCTGCCTCAGCCTCCCAGAGTGCTGGGATCACAGGTGTGCACCACCACACCCAGCTGGCAGGACTGGGATTGGACCCGATAAAGAATGAAGTCGAGTAGCAAGGGGCTGATGACACTCAAGGGGGATGAAGGAGCTGCCGGAGGACACTAATGGGGAGCCGAAGCCTGCATGAGGGGTGCGCAGTGTAAGAACCGAAAGAACAGGAAGCTGTGGCTGAGAGGGGATGGATGGTCAGGATTCTTGGTAAAGCAGATCCTAGAGGTGACAAGGTCCGCGGTGCGGGTGGCTGAAGGGGAGGAACTGGAAGGACTTGAGGTCAACGGCTCAAGGGCAGCCTAAGGTCACATGGCAAGTCACAGGGAGAGGGGGTTCAAGCTGGACTCGGGGTCAGGAAGGAGCTGAAAACGGGGCCTTGGCACTGTGAGCAGGAGGGGAAGATGGGGCAGGGCCGGTCCAGGCAGCAGCTGCAGGAGGGACATCGGGGGCTGGAAGGGTGCTGACCTGTCAGACGCTTGGGCGTCTCTGCACCCCAAGCCCTGCCTGGGCGGGGACATTGGTGTGAGACACGGGTGCCGCTGGGGTCACTGGCCCCAGGGGAGGTGGCACCCACAGAGGGATGGAGATGGGGCTGGGGCATCTGGGAGCCAAGGCTGGGTCAGGAGGGAGGCAACACGGGCCCTTAGGGCCGTTCACAGGGGCACGGTGTCTGCGGCCACAGAGGGGAAAGAAAGGATGCGGCTGAGGGACAGGCTGCTGTGTTCAGAGGCCTGGAGGGGCCTGAGGTGGGGGCCACAGGGACTAAAGGCTGAGCCCCAGGGCAGGCAGGGCCCTGGCTAGGTTGCGCCCACACTGTAGCCAAGACCATACACGGTGGGGAGTGACACAGAACCACGTGATTTCAGAAGATGTGGAAAAGCAAACTGGATGTGAGCATGCACACCTGTCATCCCAGTTACCTGGGAGGCTGAAGCAGGAGGACTGCATGTTCAACCTCAGCCTGGGTAGTTTACTGAGGTGCTGTTGCAAAATAAAAATAAAAAAGAACCCTGTGCAAGTACTAACCGGGCCGATCCTGCTTAGCCTGTGAGATCAGAGGGCACCAGGCATGTCCTAGGTGGTATGGTCACAGGTATCCACCAAGAAATCAAATAATAACAAATGCTGGCAAGGGTTCAGGGAAAAAGGAATGCTTTCTACTTTGCTTATGGGACTGCAGACTAGTACAACCACTGTGGAAATCAGTAAGGAGATTCCTCAAAAACTAGCTAGAAATTCCACTCCACCCAGATATGCCCCTTCTAGGTGTCTTCCTGAAAAAGTGAAAGACATCATATTATAGTGATCCACACATACCCGTGTTCATAGCAGCACAATTCATAACATGTGTGGGAAGCAGCCTAGAAGTCTACCCACAGATGAATGGATAAAAAGAACATGGTATTTACATACAATGGAGTAGTACCCTGCCATAAAGAAGGATAAACTTGAGGTATTTGCAGGAAAACAGATGCACCTTGAGACCATAATGTTAAGTGAAATAAATCAGACACACAGCTTAAATATCACATGGTTTCTCTTACACGAGAAACCCAAAGTATAAAGAGCAAAGAATAAAAAGGTGGCTGCTAGGAAACAAGGATGTGTTATGTACATGTGCTAACTCCCCACAGTGAATGTGATCATTATGTATGGAAGACCCATGCTAATAACAAAGAATAAAAAATAACTAAGGGGCTGGGGATGTAGCTCAGTGTGAAGCCATTGAGTCCATTCCCTGTCACTACATGAAAACACACGCAGGCACAGAACAGAAAAGCAGGTGACAAGAAAGCCCCGCAGGACACAGCAGTGTTGTCCAAGGCCGCTTTCCTGGACCAGATGTGGCCCCGCAGGCTCCTGGCGGACTGCGCTCCTCGCTCCCCTGGCGATCCCTTCACTGTGAGGCCTGCGCCGATTTGCAACAAAACCCGGCATCTGTAAGGGGCACCGGCGGGATCGCCAGTCACTGTGCCGTGCTGGGAAGAGGTCAGAGGAAACGGGAGGGATCCCAGCCGCGGGCAGAGGGGGCTCTGCGCCCCGGGGGACCCAGCCTCAGACTGACGACAGCTGCTGGGTCCTGGCGGCCCTGGGCTGTGTGAAGGACG